TTCTTTTTTTTTGCCAGGGATTGAACTCAAGACCTTGTGCTTGTGAGGCAGGTGGCAGAATGAGCCACTGAGCTAAATTCCTGGCCCTGAATTCCTTCTGTTTTATCTTTTCTGTTCTCCAGACATAGGCAACAGTGCCTTTTGAACGGATTGCCCAAAAGGGCATTATTTCTGCTCTCATTTGCCCACAGTCACTCAGAGATGCTTGCGATAGATGAATAACAGTTTTTTTTCTTTAAAGCATTAAACATCCTGAATATTTTTATTTCATTCAACAAAAAGTATACAATCTTAGATTTTCTTGTAAGAGAGGCCATGGGCATTCATTTGCTTTTCTGATTGCCTTTAGAAAAAAAAAAAGCATCAGTATCTGTACTCGATCCACACAGCTATGCAAGCCCCCAAAGATTCCATGATTTTTTCCACATCAAGCAGTCAGACTTCCTCTGATTTAAGGTCCTTTTGTTTTCTCAGATTATAACACTATATAATGCATATATACAAAGAAACAGTCATTTAAATTTAGAATTAGCAATGTGTAGCTCTGGACAAATTACTTTTCTAAGCCTTAACTTTTTATCTGTAAAATGGGCATAAGAATGCTTCCTCATAGAATTGTTATGGGGATTAAATCAGATGACAGCATATCTCCTGGTTTAGCTTTAAATAATAATTATTTTAAATAATACTAAATGAATAAAAGACCTTAATTACCAAGTTGGTCTAATATTTTAGCATTTTAATTATTGAATTTTTATGTTTGCCAAATCCTTTATATTTAATTGTACTCCAGGGCCGGGGATTTAGCTCAGCGGTTCGGTGGCCTCCCTTACAAGCACAAGGACCTGAGTTCAATCCCCAGTACCAAAAAAAAATTGTACTCCATATTCTTACACTGTTGGTTCTTTCCCTATCACTTATCTTTAAAACGTATAACTCCAATTCCTTTTATGTTTTCTCTCGTGTTTCTTTGACATAACTGGCTCCTCTCCAGATTTTCCACGACTTACTCAGTTGTCAAATGCTGTTGTTCATCACAACCAAACAACAACCTGACCAACTTGCTTAATGTCCTAGATTATCTAGAGACCTATGATGTTCCTATCATAGTTTCTTGGCAATGGTTCAGTATTTCCTTGGCTTTCCAGAAAACAAATTCAGAAATGGAAGTGGACATGGAGGGAATTTTCTGGAGAGTGCTGGGGAGAGCATAGAATTGGGTGGACATTGGCCTATCTGAGCTCAGTGAAGTCCACAGGAGCTCTGAAACTGGAAGGACCTCTCAGAGTAGAGGTGAGGGTATTATATCTTCAGACCTCTACATTGACTAATCACTGGATGCAAGTTGTATAACCGTCAAAGAAGTGGCTCTTTTCAACCAAGGACAATGCCTGGTCAGGGCATTCAGCTGTTGGTTGTCAGTTAGTGACATGCTTCTAGCAGCTGGGGAACTGAGTCTTATAGTCCTGAAGGCGATCTAGTAGGTGCAACATAATATTCATACAAACACGGAGATTCTAGTAAGTGCCACATAATATTCACTACAGTTTGCTTTTGTATAGTTATTTTTCCTGACCCTGAAGGACATTGTCTTTTACTGTCTCTAATAAATATTCTTTTAGTTTCCAGTTCCTTCTTCACTTTGTATTCTTCTGGCGTAGACTTAAAATGGTAGACTTTGTGGAGATAGGAAAGGGATCTGGGGATGAAGTAGTGGAAAGGGAAAATAAAAAGGATCAAGGTATGATGTATCTTTCCTCTATCAGTTTCTAGGCTCCAATCAAAAGTATGTTACTATGATAAATACAGTATTTTATAGGGGCCAATGTGAACAATTAGCCCTGATATATAGTAGTTTCTATTTTCTTCATATCTTATGCCCAGATAAATGAGAACTGAACTGCCAATAATGTATTAAATGTTAAAGACTATTTGAAATTACCTTACATTCATATGTCATTAAGCTTGCACCATATACACAGGAGTCAGGATACTGAAATATGAAATGTCAAATAACGTCATTCACTCCATTGTATTACATTGAGTATTATTTGTGATTATTTTTTAAATAGTTTGACTATCTTTAACCCAGTTTATCATTACTGTATGGCTAATTTACTTTTACCATTAATATTTTTTACATATAAACTTACTGATTACTTTGTTTTTTTTAGCTTATTATTTCCTAAGGGATAATTTTTAAAGAATGAGAGAAAAGTAGGAAATATAGAGAGAATATATATATCAGAAGGCATCATTGTGTAGAGAAATAAACATTAATCAGAAAGCAGGCTGTTCATATCTCTATGCATGTAGCTGCTTAGGTCCTAATTTGTGGCAAATCTGAACTACAGTAGAATTTTATGTTTAAATTTTTCAGGGAGAAGATATTATCGTCATTGACTTACTTTCACTTTTATCTTTAAAAGAAAATACAGGTCATTAATAAAGATATATGGCAAAGTTTGTAGTCCTCAATAAAATTCCTGTTCATCTTCAAACCCTGCCTTCAACACATTTTTCTCCCACACCTTTATTCAGGCTTTGTCCCTCCTACCCATGGCCTAACTCTTCTTCCATGCTATGTCCATCTCCTCAGTCTGCCTTAATATTATTTCATTTTAAGCTGCTTATTTTTCAGAAACTATTAAAATTTCATCTCACCTCAGTTACAGGAAAAATAATTGTATATTTTATTTTTCCTCAAATCTTAAAGTGCATTACTACCTTTATCTTCACTGATTTGCAAAGTTAAGGAAAGCAACAATTACTTCTAAAATATTAATATGTCACTTTATGTTGCAATATATCATTCACAAAACACTTTCATAGTCATGTCTGAATTTAATTATAACAATAACTTTGAGAGGTCATTGGTATTCTCTAAATTTTATAGATCAAAAGGTGGGATTCAGGGTAAATAAGTATTTTTAAAATTTTTTTTGGTACCATTGATTGAACTCATGACTTTGCAAGGCAAGTGTGGTGTCACTGAGCTAAATCCCTGGCCCTTAAGCTTACTTCATTTAACCTGTCTTCTGACTCTAAGTCTAGTTGTAAAATCTGTTCTCATCTACTACATTTACATGCTATTATTATGATACATGCTGATTTATATGTTAAGTGTGTGTTTGTGTAACTGTCTTCATTATCAGACTTTTTGATGGCAGGCATGAGGTCTTATTTGAGTTTGTACCTTAAGTGTTTAACATTGTCTGACATTGTGTTACCACACAGTATAAATTAGTGCAATGAGTGAGTGGTCAGGAAAACTCACAAACTACTGTAGTCCAAGAGCAAAGATAAAATAAAATCCCCAAAGGAAATCTGAGAAACAGTCATCTAAGAATATATAAGAAAAATTAACCACCACTAAAGCAAAAAACAAAGTCAGTGAGACTACTATTTTGATCATATTTGTAAAGAGGCATAGAGTAGGGAAGAGACTAGAAACTGGATAAATTTTTAACCTTTTTTCATATTTTTAAAATAGCTTTCTTGAAATATGATCACATACTACAAAATTCACTCCTTTAAAGTGTATGGATTTTTCATATGATAAAGTTATTCATTTACACCACAATCAATTTTAGAACATTTCATTTAACCCCAAAAGAAAATTTACTTTCATTAACCTTCATTTCATTAACCTTGAAGACTCATTCTACTGTAGGCAGCCACTAACCTCCTATTTGT